TGCGATCTTCTCACAGACGCTCGCGTGCAGCAGCGTCTAGTGTGCCATTTTTATGATATTAATAGACATTGTATTCTAGTGCGCGAATTTTATGATATTTTCAAAATAAGGTCAATAAAGATTATCATACCAAGCTCTACTGGCGGCGTTTAATTACGTAATATTAATAAAAAAAATGATTGTACTATTATCAAAACAAGAAGTTTATTTATTATATTGTCAATAATAAAAAAATTAATGGACTTATAACATAAACATGAGGAGATAATCGAGTAGACTAATTTGGAGCCTCAATTATAATTTGGGAGCAAAATACTAAGTTCAATAATATTCTTTAATGAAAGGGATATTATTCTTGTGTATTGAGTGTAGCTGGACCAGGAACTAAGGAAATTAATCACAAAGGAAATCTTTATTTAGCACATCCTCAAGGTCCCTATTATCGTTTATAAATACATGAGCTCCTGGGGAATTTTAGTGTAAAAAATACAAGATCTTCTTCCTTATTCTTCAAAGAAATCGTGTGAAATTCTAAAGGTAGACATTGAGATCGTCGCCCACCAAGACATACGGAGTCGGTGTCAGGAATACAACAAAAGGTCCCGAGGTAAAAGGAGGCCTTGTCTGTCTGGTCCCGTAGACCGAGTAAAACATAATAAAGCTTTTGCTTGGTCGACGAGTAGTTGTGGGTTAGGTGTTTCATTGGCAGTAATAGAATCATATGGAAGTGGGAGTTGATATATAATATCATAATAAGTGTAGAGTTGGTTGAACAAGCCACTTTCACCTAGTGACCAATCTAACAAACATGCAACTAAAAATCAATCGGGAATGTAAAAATAATGTTTTAACCATATTCCTACCATATCTCTTACAAGTTCGTCGCTGTCAGGATCACTAGAAAAATTATCACCAAAATATCACATTACGACTACACATTGAATTAGCACAAGTTGAGCGTAAGATAGTAAAAACTAGAAAGTACGTTAGTAGCAGTTTGACATGTTCCTAAAAAATTTTATAAGTGTTGTACAATATCAACACTAACGGTGATACTACAACTATGACGGCGGGATTCATGAAAAATGTTTCTAATTGAACATCATATTCATAAGTTATTTTAACATTTGAAAACTTGAGTTCCAATGGGTAGGAACGTGGTTTGAGTTTCTTGGGTTCAACACCAGTATTTACAATGTTTTTCCTATTTTTTTTTTCTTTTCTTGAGGACGACAATGTAAATACATAATGGTCTCCCTAATGAGCGTGACTGACTATTTCAAATCATTATAACCTGCTTGAACACAAAGATTAAAAACAGACACATACAATGAATATGAAAAAAATAAAAAAAAAAAAATCCACCAAAAAGGAGTGACAAATTTCTCTAAGCTCAGTTAAGGAAGCAATATTAGCATTAGCATTATCAAAATAAATGAAAAAAAAGGTTTTTTTATCAAGTATTCAAGACACGACTAAACGAGTCATATTAGCAGTAGTGTGAGAGGTATGAAATCTTGTATAAGCAATTAAATGTTTTTGTAATGTAAAACTATCATCTAGTCAATGACAAGTAATTCCAATATAATGATTATCTTGCCAATGATCAAACCACCGTCGCCCACCGTCGAGCACATTTTTATGCTTTGGTGGTCGTCCACCATTGCCACCATGAGCACTCAACATTTTATAACTTTGATAGACTTTATAAAATAAAAATAAAGGATGAAATTATAGAATTGAAAGAGTATTATTTAGAAAATTTATAGAACTGAAACTAAATGAGAGAGAATTTATAGAAATGGAACCCAATTCATCTAGAACAGGGCACAAAATTATAATTATAGGCCTCGTTTACTTTTAATGATGGGATTAGATAAAATAGTCTTTTACTTTTTCCACATCAGCATCTTATAAAGTGTTAGTTTCGTAAATAAGGAGAAAAAAAGGGTTTTAAAGTCCTTTTCATGACTATTTGAGGGGTAAATATGGTATGAATAGTGCAGGATTGCAAATTCCCATGTTCAAGCTGGGATAATTTATATCGAACAATGAGGGACTACTTTGTCACGTAGGAAATGCACCTCTGCGCCACATCACCATAATCCTATCAAAATCTGCTTTAGTAAACAATGGATTCAGCGAAATCCTATCCTTATCATTAAAAGTAAACGAACATGAGAACTTAGAGAATAGATGAAGAAAACGAGATTGGTGTAAATTACTGAATTTTCATATTGGAGGCGGCGTGGTTATTTATAAAAAAATTCGGATTTTTCTAACTTTTTTTAATTATAGAACCGCCGGGGCCAACCCGGCAGTTCAAACAGATTTTGATCGTTGGATCTCAACCGTCAAATTGATCCAACGGTCAATTTAAAAAAATGTTACTGTTGGAGGTTTCAGATTTGGGTCCGAACCCGCTCAGAACAATTTAAAATTTTAAAAAAAAA